GGGGCCGGAACGGGCCTGGCCACGTTTCGGGTCTCTGTGGCCAGGGACAAACGCGTAGTAGGGACCGGATCCGACGCGACAGCCACTGATGGTTGTTGCTTATTATGAAAGAGTTCTACGAGAGCTCTACACGCTGGTACTAGCTGCGCGGCTGTCATATCGCGGTGTGAGATATTATTAAAGAGTTTAATACCGACCGTGTCCCAAAAATCTCTAGTAAATACAGCTGAACGGTCAGCGTTGGGGAAGTTAAGTAGAGTCCATTCTAAAAGATCTTTTAGCTCTTGTTTCGGTAAATTATTGGACTCAGAGCGTAATAAATGTTTTAGTCGCTTATAGAGGTCTCTGTCGTGAATAGAGTAAGATTGTCCCATGATTAAAACTTGTGCGCACTAACCTCAGTACCGGAGAAAACAGCGTATCCAATCCCAGCTTCTCGTGGGGGCTGGCCAGGCTCCCCTGCTGCGGCTCCAGACGCTGCTTTTCAGGTTCCTTCACCAAGCTCCGCTTCTAGCTGTTGCTTTGCAACACTGCAGCGAGCTCAGAACCCCTTTCCAGCACAGCACCAAGCGGTGCCAGGCACCTCGCTGTGCTCCACTCCCGGGCTGAGTCTCCCAGAGCTCCAAAAGACACCGATCCTCAGCATCTCTGGACTCAGGAACTCCCCTTGCAACTTTAAAGAGCTTCGGCCCAACTCGCTGCTAAGCAGCGTGGTCCTTGCTCACGGTACTGGGAAAGCAGGCACGACAGATAAGTGTTAGTTACCGTCCATGAGGGTCTCTTACAGCTGAAGAAAACGATCTGCTCCTGGCTGGCTCGCCAATCTGTAAGAGACGTTTTCTGGGGACGGTCAGAGACACGGCAGAGACCTCTATAATCGAGTTAAGTGTTAGAAGTTTATTTCAGGGCGTGGGGTAGAGAGGTAGAGAGAGAGAGCAAGAGAGGGTAAGAGAGGGCAAGAGAGATGGAAAAAAAGAGCAAGCAAGAGGCCGAGCTCTTCTATACCACTACTTATATAACCTATACCTTTGAATATTCTATTCCTTTTCTAACCAATCTTTCTAAGTATACTAATATAGTAACATTTGTGTACAACCTATAGAAATCGCTATTTTTGCATATTTTTAGTTATCTCAGGGTCCTTCAGACCTTTCCTTATAAGGCTGGGATGAGGGGTCTCAGCTTGGTTTTATTGCAGGAAAGAATGTGTTCTGGCATACCAGCCCGGTTTCTTTGAATTATTCAAACCGTGCTATCATTTGTATTTCTTCCTTAGCCTTTCTGGCTACAAAGTCATATTTATAATTTCTTTCTAATTCTACCTTCCCAACAATACTCTACTAAGAAATCATGTCTTCTCTGACCTATGAACTACTGGTATATTAAACATATTTAATGTCAATATTAGTAGTTTTCTTTTTCCCTATTTTGTACAGCTAGTTGTGACTGTTGCTACAGATTATGGTTGACCGCCATGTACCTTTATGTTTGAATAAAAACATTTCATATGTTCTTTAGAATTAGAATAATAACTTTTTAAGAACCTGCTTTTAAGAACACAAGGATCTTCTTAGAGGAATTTATTATTTATTCCACAGAAAGGTAAATCCACCAAAAAAATTCATGAGTGGAGGGGAGAATATGAAAAACTCTACCCAAAACTTTACCAAGTGTATATTGTGTTAAATGAAATAAAGAAGCCTGAGGTGTAAGAGCAGTTTTGAGTTTTCCCATCTGATTTCTATATAGATAAACAAGATGTGACTAACATTAAGTGGGAATTTGTTTTGAGGGCCCACTTTTATTTAAGGATGTAAAACACCCTTGTGAAATCAGCTGAAGATTGTGTCGGCGATTGCCATTGTTAATATGTAATTGTGCCGTATTCTATTTAAATTTCACAGACTCAAATCTGAGAATATCAGGTAAAATTTCTTAAACACACGGGAAATAAATTTTCAGTTATGTTTGTTCTCCCAAAATGGATGAAAAACAAAAACACCAACCAAAAAACAAACAAACAAAAAAACTCAAACCCAAAAAAACCAAAATCTTGAAGGAAGGTTGGAGAAGTCAGTGATTAATCAAAGGACTACTCTGCACATGGGGAAATCACATCGGTTTTACTCCAACTTGGAAGCAGGATGACCTGGACAGGCAATGTGAAGTCCATTAGCAAGTCACACCTTTGATTTCTGAGTGCTTTTAACACTAAAGTGACTCTCTAAGAGATCCTCTTAACTGAGACTGCTTGTGAGCTGTAAGTGATGCTTTATTTACTTGGCAGTTACAGAACATCCTGCAATGATCTTTCAGCAGAACTGCCTGTGTTTGGTGCTGGTAGTGAGGAGCAATCACTGCTCACACCTTGAGCTTTAGTGAAGTTTTTTTTTTTAGGAAAAACCCTTGCTTATTCTGTACCCCAGATTTACTCATTCCTAGCAAGTTTTGGGTGATGCTGAAAGCTGACTGCACCCAAACCCACCTGAAAAATTGGAAGTCATTGGCTCTTCTAACACTTCCCCTTAATGAAACTGGTTGAGTCAGTGACAATTTGCCTGGGAAGGCAAATTATCAACTATAAAACACCTTTAGGACTCTTATCACCCTCATGGAGATTCATAAAGGTTGCCAATATCTCTTAAGTCCATGTTGTCTCAAATCTCAAAGCTCTTTTGCTTGATACTTTGCCATTAATTTCATATGAAATATCTTCTCTTGCCTTCTCCATTTCCAGGGAATCCTGCCTGGTCCTATGCTCTCAGTCATTCGTCTGTCATTCTGGACTTCAGAGATTTACCTGAGGCTTTCCATCTTTATGCTGATTCCTTTTATTCCTTTTTTTGTATTTTTTTTTTTTTCCCCTATGATAAAGTGATGGAGCCTAGGGAGGTATCAAAGTCTGTTTAAGTGAAATATCACCTTATGTACACAATTCCGTATGTGTTTATACAAAAAGTGTGACTTTAAGCCAAAAGAATCCAGCCTTTTCTTACAAATCAAGATTGAAGTGGTCCAAACAAGATGAATGTCAGAACAGGTAAAATCCCTGACACCTCAGCAGCATTCTTTGAATTTTCCTGTTTTCCTTTGCTGTGGATCTTTGGAGCAGAGTGCTGCAGGCTCCAGTTGTGCTTTGGTGTGGACACTGCAGCATTTTTCACTGCAGCATCTGTGCTGGGCCTTAGCTGCTGGTTCAGGAAGCAGTAGATGGAAGGGTGGTTTAGAGGTAGTTTCTCATCTTTATAAAACTGGTACACTTTCGAGGTAAAGTTGGAACGAAGCAGGATTAATGATTTTTCTCCCCCAGTCAGAGAAAGAATCCTCTAATTCTTTCTAAGTATATCAAGTTCACCTGGTTCCAGTTGAATGACACTTTTATCAAGACTTGTCTTTCTTTCAGCTGTTGTGGAGAAATAGTCCCAGAAATCTGCAGGTCTCTTTAATATTGCATTAATCAGCATTAAATGTGAAATGATCTCTCTCTCCCTTCTTACTACCACTACTGCTTTTTCCATCTGTATTTTTAAGTTTCCTCCTATTGAGCCTATTTATGCAGATAATTTTCTTCTTTTCGCTTCCTTCCTAGGGATGTGCAACCCTTCAGTGTACATCTACTTCCACAAACCTCTACAACTCCATTGCCAGTTTCACTTGAGAGAACCCTGTACCTTTTTCTACTATGTAGCAGTTTAAAAAAATAAATGTTGCTTAGGCCTGCAAGCAGATGATCTCTCTGAACTCTGTTACATCTTTTCATCAGTCTGGGTGATAAGTTGTGCAATTATCTTGAACTGCTTTTTATCTTTACACAGGAATGAGATAGTAAAAATGCCAAAATATCCACACGCCCAGTTTACTGGTAAATACATGGAGAGGTTTGAACCTTTTTGGCAGTTGTTGAAGCTACTAAGCAGAATCCACCTTTAGAGAACAATATATTTTACAATTGTATCCATCTTCAGTGTGGTGGGAGGCACAAACCAGTCACATCTAAAGCAAAGATTGAGAAGTTTTAAAACTCATTCACATTTAGTACATACTTTCTGCTTGTTGGGGTGCATGAATACAGTGTAAAACTGACATGAAATGAAGGCAAATCATCATAAATAACTCATTTTGTACCTGCTTGGGTACTCTTTTCTGCAGAAAATTGATTTCAGAATATGAACCAATATGCACTGAATTTCCCACAATAATAGTATTGATAATAAAAGAACTTCATTGAAGAGAAAAGCAAATCAAGAGCATAAAAGTCTCATGGAGTATGAAACTGCAGAAATGGATCAAAGATTTGAGAGGAAGTTTAATGTGTATATAAGTAGAGGCTGGCAGGAACGTGCTGTGTGTGTCAAAGGTTCCGGTGATGGAAAACTGAAACATGGTGCTCACTGACCACAGCATCAGCCCTGACACACGCGATGGGTGCTAGCTTTGGAGCAGGCTGCAGAGAGCTGCAGAAACTGCAGGCCCCATGGCCTCTCAGTCCTGCCAGAGAAGCTATCCTGGGAAATTCAAAGGAGGATTTCAAAACAATCCTCAGAGACAGAAAACAACTGCCAGGTGCTGTTTGTCTGTCCTCTTGTTTTCCTTGCAGGAGAAAGTCAGGGGGGTGTTGAACCCCACTGACCAATGATAGTGATGTAGCACTTTACTAACCAATAAGAGTTTCTTTTCTGTACTTTCCACATATCTGTCTATAAGACAAGCCTGGAGCAATAAACTAGAGAGAATTCTCGTGTTGTGACTCCCTTGAGTGTCCGTGTCGTTCTTTATCGCCGTTCCCAATCAGAACGACACACACGCTGTAAATAACCCAGAGATATATGACTGCATTAGGCACGAGGCTGGTGTATTAACAGCAGTAAATCTGCAGCAGCAGAAATGCTTGGCATATAGGATTCCCTCTGATTAATATTTGTAACAGACTAATCAGAGTATTGCAGACCTTTCAATCTGTGCTTCTTGCAGGGCTCTGAAAGTTTTCTTCTCTATTCCAGAGTGGCCTATGTGGACACTGGGCTGACCACAGTCAAGTTAAAAGCTGAAGACTTGTGGTTGACAGCATCTGATCACTCTCAAGTTAAATGCAAAGGTAAATTGATGTGGGACAAAATACCATGAGGCTGCCTTGAAATAAATCCATTTTTCTTAATTCATTAGGATTTTAAAGGATTGGTTTGTTTGCTGGTGTGTCTGTTCTGCAAGGTGATAGGTCAGTTATATTTTCCTTGTTTGAGGGTTTTCAGACTAACTATATTTAAAATTAATATTGGATTATGGTTATCTGCAAGATGCAATAGTGCATCATATGAAAAAAACTTTGATATTGCACTAATTTTACTGGATTGCAGACAAAGCCATCTGGGAGACTTTCCTTCATTATCACTCCATCCAGAGACTGTGCGTTGGTTGGTTATTAACAAGTCTTGCTGTTAAAGTCAGAGATGTAAAGATTTATGAAAAATTGAAGTCAGACAGAAAAATTATTTCTTTTTAGTCTAAATAAATGTCTCATTTTGACAGTACTTGCAAATCAAGCCCCTGGCATTTGCAGAAAGAGAACAATTTTAATTCTTCCTGGTACTTATCACTGAACTCAAGTTGCAATGTTTCTTCATAGACTGTCTCATTTCAAGGCATAAATCTCTCATCAGAGACTGTGAATATCCAGGCTGTGTGGTGACAATTGCTTGGCAATAACTGTTGTCTTCAGAAAATCAGTCCAGGGGGAAAAAGGGATCTAAAAGTGTCTGGGTGTTGTTGTTTGGGACTATCTGTGGCCCATCATCTTGAGTTATAATCTTGAAAGCATGAGGAGGGGGCACAGTATTGTAGGATTAAATCCCACCTTCACAGGCATCCTGTTCTTCTAGAAACCAGGCGTTTTTCAGTCTTGCATAACATGAACAAGCTTCCCCTTTGAAAGGGGAAAAGGAGGGGAAAAAATACCTTTAGGAAATGAGTGTTGCTCAAGTGGATTTTTAAAAAGAGTAAAACTGTTCTACATGCAGAGAGTAATGAGTGCATTATTAATTTGCTAGTCAGTCCATTATAAAATACACTGATGGAAGAAATCCATCAGGATGTACAATTATAGTCTATTTAATGTGCAAGGAGAGGAACCAGGTTGTGTTGTTTATAAGGGATAAATACAACGCTTCATATGACACTAGAAATTACGTGCAGCCTGTTGCCCTAAGGCTTTCTTGCTCTTAGTACAACAGAAGTAAGGTATTTTTACTGTTTGAAAGTATAAAAATGCAGGAAAAACTCACAGTGCAATATTTTTTTTTCCCAAGCAGCTGTCACGGTCAAATACTGACACGTGTGCATTGGCTGGTTCTGTTCAGCCTTAACTTAGCATTGTCCTGAGAGAATGGAGGTTCTCATTTTCTGTCCTTGTACAAACTTGTGGGGTTCTTTTGATCATAATAAAATAGCTGAATATTCTTCATAGCAGAAGAAAGCACCATCTAACAACTAAAGATGTATGTAATAAAAAGATTAGATTATCAGACTTGTCTATTTTAATAAGTAATTGTCTTTTTTCTTTTTTTGCTTCTTTTTTTTCATTTTGTTTTCAAGTGTTTTCAATGACGAAGGATCAATTACCTGTCCTTTTGAAACCATGTCTGGCATTTAAACTTGCCAGACAAAATTTGTGTGTGAAACATTGTTTTGGTGGTGTGGGGATTTGATTTGCCTTTGTACGCACGGACACTACATTTGAGAAGACTTGGCTGAAGTATTTTTTGGGAAGGCATTTCTTTCGATAACATACTTTAATAAAAGTGTGTTTATTTTTGTTATGCTCTTTCTTTGATTAAGATCAGTGTAGGAGCATTTCAGACCCCAAGGCTTCAAATAGGCCACTGCAAGGATTTGCCTGTTGTGTAATAATTAAGACACTTTGGTAATTATCTGAATGATCTGGCAAAGGGTATGAAAATGCTTTCTCTAGATAAAGTTAGCTGCATGCTCAGAAAACCAATATAAATATTGTATTCAATAATTGTTTAAATTGTCCTAAAGAATGATAGGATGATTTCTGACACACACATTTGATTGTAACTGTAATAAGCTAAGGTGTTATCAAACATTTTATGGCTGGTTTTGTTGGGTTTTTTTTTAAATACAGCCTTTTAAAAATTTTTCACATTGTTCTCTCTTAATTTGGCTCAAGGGTTTGTTTTAATTTTGGTTCTATGTTCACTCGTCTCTTTCTAAATAGTTAAGTACTCTAGATTACTTTCAGTTTTAAAAAACAAAACATTGCCAATCAGAACAAATAGTTTAGCTTAAATAAAAATTAGTTACTGATTAATTGACTGTTTGATTTTTAAACTTTGCTATCCAGTATGGGTAATTGAGGAGAAATTTGTAAAAAAATTTCATGCTTTGTCTTAAGGTTTCTTTAATGTGCCTTTGTGACCACTGAACATGGAAAACTGTGAGTCTGCTGCCTTTACTAAATACTGATATTGTTGTGGTAAAGTTGTTAGAATGTTGTTAAGTTAGTTTTTGTTAGCAGTTGATAGCTTAAAATATATCTTTTCCCCTCTTTTAGTTGTGATTCCCCCCTGCCCCCCCCTCCCCGCTCCACTTCTCATTCTCCTGTTGTTTACCTGAAGTCAGGTTACCATGGTTACTGAAGTTTTTCTCCTCAGCTCCACTGCCAGAGGCCGGATAGAGTAAAGAGAGGACCCTGCTGGCATTTCCAGCTGCTTGAAGTTTCGGTAGCCTGGGGAAGTGCAGGGGTGGTAACAGAGAGAACTTTCTGTCCAACACGGAAGTTTTACCTCTGAGCTATGGCAAGGCCTCTGAGCTGTGGAAGCTGAGAAGATGTGCTTACCTTCCATTTCTTTCCCCCCTGAGTTGCCAGGAAACAAGCCACCCCCCTCCTCTCTCCCCCTCTCCTCCTCTGTGGAAGATAATCCTACACCTTTGTGGGCATTTGAAGAAGTTGGTGTCTGTTATTTCTTACCTTGGTGTGGGTAACCTTGATTTGTAGAAAGTTTGTAAGATGTACTTACTGAGAAAAATAATTGGTTCTCTCTCTGATGTTCCCTCCCTCCGAGAATCCCTGTTAAAAGAGACCCCCCCAACCCCAAATCTTTTGTCTTTCGCCCTTTGGATTCCCCTTCACAGAAATAAACTGTGGAATGTAAACCAGGGAGAGAGTCCACCCCTGATTTCTTTTCTCGCTTTATAGACTCGAATTCCTGAGGAAAATCAGTGAACCCCACAAACATCTGCTGCCTCAAAACCGGAGTGAGGAGAAACCTCCTCACTGAGCAAGCCAGGCCACTCTCGGGAGGTTTAAGTCATTATATATAGAACATTTGCATGTAGCTTTCTTCTTTAAATGATAATTAACATTCATTAGTATTCCTGAAAATGTTTTACAAACTGTTTCCTCTCAGCCAAGTTCTTAAAATCCTTTAAATGCTCGTATTTTGTTATCAAATTTGGAAGCTGAGTATGTCTGACTTTCAATTGCTAAGAAAAATAATATCCCAAAGTGTATTTTCTTTCCCTCCCTCAGTATCCTACAGAACCACCAGATTGCCTTGTGGATTTTCCTGTTCCATTTGCGGTTTCCTGGATGCCACAGGTAACTACTTGTCCTGGTTTAGGGCAAATTTGGGAGAAAACCTCCAATGGGGCCCCCCCAGGAATCAAACCCACGTGGCCCCTTTCTCCCACCCCCCAACCGGTTCAGGAAGAGATTTCTCTGAGAGAAGTGGAAAAAGCCTGTTTATTTAACAGGCACAGCACTACCCAGCACAACAATGGGTTGAACAATATGAACAAAAAATGGGATGAACAAATGAACGATATCAAATTACAAAACCTCTCGCCGCTCTGAAGGTATGACAAACTTCAGAGGGTCTCTTTCCTGTGGGTGTTCGCTCTGTTATCAGTCCCTCTGGCGCTGGAAAATGCCGCTGCCCAGGCTGGGCTCCCGGTAGTCCATGGGTGCAACATGTCTCACAGTCATAGATAACCTGAGAAATGCTGTTCAGGGGTAGATCCACCCCTCGGTCTCGTGCCCACTTATAGGTGGCATCTCTACCCTGATGACCTGAGGCATCATGAGCCCATTGGGCTAGGAACAACTCTCCCTTATGTTCCCAATCCAAATCTATCTTTGACACTTTACAGAAGAAATGCATTTAAGATATGCTTTTATGGGCCAGTACAGTACTGTGTGATCCATCACTCTGCTCCAGGTGCTTGGAACAGAGACTATGAGCTTCCACCAAAATAAAGAGCCAAGCAACAGAGGGAAAAAAAGGGGAGGATTCAGTGGGGGCTGATTGCAGATGAGGAAGAGAGTGATGAACCCACTTGATCCAAGTCAGGTATTTACAACTCTGCACTGCTGCCCTGGAATGGAGGAGGCCCTTCCTCTGGGGAAGGGGACAGGTTCAGAAGAACCATCCTGGAAGACTGAACTTGAGTTCAGCTGCTCCAAGAAGGAAGCCCTGGGGAAAAGGTTCCCTTGTGGAGGCGGAGAGCCGATGGAATGAGAGGTGCTCAGCTCCAAGCTACCAGCCAGGCTGCTTGGTGGCCACGGTGACACTGCTGCAGCCTTCCTGTGTGTGGTACTGGGGAATGAAAGCCTCCTGTCATGGCACAATGAGCACTGAGCTACTGGGAATGATGGAAGAGAAATCAGGGTGGAATTGGCCCAGGTCCTCAGACTTTGGTCCAACAAAACCGTTCCCATGTGCTGTGATGCCACCAACTGCTCCAGAGAGCTGGAACGAGCAGCTGCCAGGACCTTCCCAAGACACCTGCCCCAGCAGCTGGGTACTGTGGGCTCCGACAGACACCGGTACTCGTTCAAAAGGGGACAACATTCCTCTCACATGAAGTTTTGCTTAAAGGCAATACAAAAACAACACTCTGAAAGCCAACTGCCAGGACTGGCTGTGAAGTTCACTGAGACTCTGATCGATTGGTGCGGTTAGATGGGACAAAGGGAGTGAAAAATACACCTCCTTGCTGAGAGAGGTGGACAATCACTGACCCGCCACCTACCCCAAGCCCTAGGCAGGGGAATCTCAGTGATGGCAGGCAGCTGTGTCTCTTGGGTAGAAGAGAAGCAGTTTGAGAGCAGAAAGGTACAAGAAATCTAAGAGAATCATCTGAAAGCAGATTTGTCCCACAGCAAGGCCAGGGGAGGGTATGAGCCTTGGAGCTTTTCGGCGTAGGCAGCAATTTCTGTCACAGTGGTAACCAACTTCTGACCATTCCACACTGTCTTGAACTGTTCTGGGACAGGAAATTCAGTAAAGTCCCCCGCCTCGGTGGGGATGAGGATGTTCATTTCCAAGGACTTGGCACTGATGATCTTGCTGTCGAGGGAGCTCTTGCTCAGGTAAACGTGGCACACATCTGTCTTGTTGATGGAAATCGTTGGCACTTTACCCATGACCTGAACTTTAACATCCCTGTTGATGATCTCTACAATGCCCACCACATCATCAAACACCAAAGCCAGCTTCTTGCAGTCATTGAGGGTGATGGAGTTGATCTTGCCTTTGATTTGGAGTGTACCGTTTGTGCACTTGAAAACATATGCTACCTGCTTTAACTCTGTGTCACTGGTGACCAGGTTAGTGGCATTCTCCTGGTTTTCCACTCTCTCATGCCACGTGCTGGGTACCAATAAAAGTATTTGTCCTGGTTTAGGGCAAATTTGGGAGAAAACCTCCAATGGGCCCCCGCCCTGGGAAGCAAACCCATGTGGCCCCTTTCTCCCACCCCGCAACCGGTTCGGAAAGAGATTTCTCTGAGAGAAGTGGAAAAAGCCTGTTTATTTAACAGGCACAGCACTACCCAGCACAACAATGAACAATATCAAATTACAAAACTTCTCGCCACTCTGAAGAGATGACAAACTTCAGAGGGTCTCTTTCCTGTGGGTGTTCGCTCTGTTATCAGTCCCTCTGGTGCTGGAAAATGCTGCTGCCCAGCATTTCATTGCCCGGTAGTCCATGGGTGCAAGCTCCCAGTGCTCCCCTGAGTCCCCAGTTCAGAGCAGGTTCGATCCGTTTCAAGGAAAAGGGAAAGAAAACAGTCCAGGAAGACCTCTCTGCTTTGGCTAGTTGGAAAGCCAAGGTGATCTGTGTCTTGTTGTCTGTCTGAGCTGTAGTCAAAACCCCATCCTGGGATGCGGGGGGAGCAAGTACAGTCTCTGATAACAGACTCGGTGCTTCTTCTCCACTCACTTTTACTCTTAGATGAAGTTTTAAGGATACAAAACCTATTTCTGGGCTAGGTGGACAAATGGGGATACAATTTAAGATCATAATCAACCTAGGACATTCCACTCCTTATCCCCATATCGTCACCTTACTGCCAAAACTAACATTCTAACTCTGCACACATTTACATACATAGAAACTTCCCCTCCGTTCCACCCAAAAAATACAAGCAATATATCCATCATGCCCCTGTCATGTCCCACACCAAACTACTGAATCCAGGCCCCATGCTGCAGAGCTGCAGGATTCCCCACTCTCTCATTTTACTCACTCAAAGCACCATCTTTCACCTGCTCATACCTTCAACTTACACATTTCCTTCTATTTCATGTCTGCGTGGTTTAAGGTACAGACAATGGCAGTAACCTTTTATCCAATGATCAGGTCTCCCTGAGGTACACATGGTGTTGTTCCATCTCTCTGCATTATCCACCATGTACAACCTGGTCCTTGAGCAAAGACAACCCCACGAATGGGTTTTGTCTGTGCCCAAGGTAGAATTGACCCAAACTGTCTTCCCTAGCAGACCTCTGACATGGACCACTGGGACTTTGTCTCCATCTACAACATGCAAAGACTCAGACTGGGCAGGACCTGCTCGGTTGGTGGAACCTCTGGTGTTGACTAACCGGGTGGCCTTTGCTAGATGTTGCTCCCAGTTTTTAAAAGATCCTCCACCCAGTGCCTTTAAGGTGGTTTTTAACAGTCCTCTCCACTTTCCCAGCAGCTGGTGCATGGTAGGGGATATGGTACACCCACTCAATGCCATGTTCCCTAGCCCAGCTGTTTAATAAGGCTGTTCTTGAAATGAGTCCCATTGTCTGACTCAATCCTCTCAGGGGTACCATGCCTCCAAAGGACCTGCTTTTCAGTTCCCAGGATGGTGTTCCGGGCAGCAGCATGAGGCACAGGGTAAGTTTCCAACCACCCGGTGGTGGCTTCTACCATCGTGAGCACGTAGCGCTTGCCTTGGCGGGTTTGGGACAGTGTGATGTAGTCAATCTGCCAGGCTTCCCCATACCTATATTTGGTCCAACGCCCACCATACCATAGCGGCTTCAGCCGCTTGGCCTGCTCGATCGTGGCACATGTCTCACAGTCATGGATGACCTGAGAAATACTGTTCATGGGTAGATCCACCCCTCGGTCTCGTGCCCACTTATAGGTGGCATCTATCCCCTGATGACCTGAGGCATCATGGGCCCATCGAGCTAGGAACAACTTTCTCTTGTGTTGCCAATCTAAGTCTATCTTTGACACCTCTATCTTTGCAGCCTGATCCACCTGCTCATTATTTCGGTGCTCTTCATTAGCCCTACTCTTGGGGACATGGGCATCTACATGACGGACCCTCACAGACAGTTTCTCTACCCTGGTAGCAATGTCTCTCCACTCATCAGCAGCCCAGATTGGTTTTCCCTTACGCTGCCAATTGGCCCTTTTCCACCTTTCCAGCCATCTCCACAGAGCATTGGCTACCATCCATGAATCTGTGTAGAGGTAGAGCTTTGGCACTTCTCTTTCAGCAATGTCCAGGGCCAGTTGAACAGCTTTGAGTTCCGCAAGTCGACTTGATCCACCTTCTCCTTCAGTGGCCTCTGCGACCTGTCGTGTGGGGCTCCATACGGCTGCTTTCCACTTCTGGTTCATCCTTACGATGCGACAGGAATCATCAGTGAACAGAGCATAGCATGTTTCTTCTGCTGGCAGTTGGTTGTACGGTGGAGCTTCTTCAGCCCGTGTCACTTGTTTCTGCTCCTCTTCATCAGTGAGACCAAAGTTTTCACCTTCTGGCCAGTTTGTAATTATCTCCAAAATCCCAGGGCGATTTGGGTTTCCAATACGGGCGCGCTGCGTGATGAGGGCGATCCACTTGCTCCATGTAGTGTCGGTGGCGTGGTGGGTAGCAGGAACCTTTCCTTTGAACATCCACCCCAGCACTGGCAGTCGGGGTGCCAGGAGGAGTTGTGCTTCTGTGCCAATCACTTCTGAGGTGGCTTGAACTCCTTTATAGGCAGCTAAGATTTCCTTCTCTGTGGGAGTGTAGTTGGCTTCGGACCCTCTGTAGCTTCGGCTCCAGAATCCCAGTGGTTGGCCTTGAGTCTCCCCAGGCACTTTCTGCCAAAGGCTCCAGGACAAGCCATTGTTCCCGGCTGCAGAGTAGAGCACATTCCTCACATCTGGTCCTGTTCTGACTGGGCCAAGAGCTACTGCATGAGCAATCTCCTGTTTGATCT